ACTTGCTTCTCCACTGCCACATGCTTTGTGGAGGCATTTACACCTGTGAAAACCAATGAAAAAAGTAGTTATTATGTATGTTGGAATGGATTTAGTAATGTCTCTATGCAGCTTGCACAAAAGTAAATGATGCTGCAGGACTGGAAAATCAAGGTTTGTTTATTGAAAGCAGTCCTTCCACTCCCAGGGTCAGGCCTGTGGTTTGGAAGATGATACAGACAAGGTCTCAGATGAAAAACAGGTTGTGCTTGTACTTTCGAAATCTTCAGCATAATGTAGTTCTTGTGAGGACTTATATTCTGTAGGAAGTCGTCTGTTTTACACAGTTATTCTGGCACTTGCCAAATCATAGAAGAAATTACATATGGAAATTAATTTTGTTCATTGTTGTTCTCTTTGCTTTGGAGTCACTTCTCCTCTCCTCTTTATGCAATACAAGCAAAACTCACTGGAGCAGAACTTTGATCTATAGACAATCCCAAACCTCATTAAAACTGACAGGCACAGTGGCCATGCTTTGTTCAGGAAGGAGCAATTAAGTTCTTTTATGGCATAAGATAGCTAAAACCGAGAAACTGCTGCCCATGGTGCAGGGTGCATGGCCAAGTGCTAAGATGAGCTAACTTGTATGAACAAGCACTAATTTGAGGAAAGTCAGGGAGACTTTTCTAGGGACTGCTTGTGAGCGCAGCAGCAAGAGCACAGATTGGTTGCAGCTGTGTTTGCCTGTGTGCATGTCCGGGACCGGAAACACCACGCAAGAGCCAGCAGACAGTGGGAGAAGCAGTGGTGTACGGCCCTGAGAAAAAGCCAAGGGACAGCTTCTTCTGGGCAAGCATCCTGGCTGGAGCAGCAAACTTGGACTGCTGTTCAGTTCTCCCTCCCATTTGCTTCCTCTGCGTGCAAGGAAATGGGACGTGGCTGTACATTCTTTGTAAATAAATAGGATTTCGCTAAGGAGCTGACTGAATTCATCATCGATTCCCCCCCGTGTCCCACCGCAGAAAAGTCTGGCAAAGTGCTGAATATTAGTTAGCTCTGTGGGTCAAAGTTCTGTATGCAAAACTACAGAGCTTTTCAGTATTGCTAAAGAGAACCTGCAGATACCAAGGCAGTTTCTGAAATTCAGACCTCAAAACAGGAGTTGATAATTTCAATCGCTGATGATCCTTCATGGATTTTTAATGCCTGGTATTTCTACAGTCCATATTAAAAGTAGCTTTTATGGAACAATAACAAGAAACGGGTTTCTCTGATCCCTTGTTTCGAGTGTTTAATATAGTCCAGATGTATCTGTTGAAAAGAAATGTAGTCAGATACAATATAGTTGTGAAACATCTATACATCAGTAAGGTGTTTGATACCTGGAGCTGTTTTGAATTTATTTATTTATTTGTGTTACCTTACGGTGTCTTCTTATCAAGCTGCTCTAAGCTCTTACAGATTTTTGTCCGTATTTCGGTCCCCACAGTGACAACATTATCCACCCCAGTACAGCTGAATAAAGCAGAGTCCTTCAAGAAGTCTCTGTCCTGAAGCTGGAGTGTACTCTGTGTGTGCTCTGACACCTCTGTAACGGGACGGGAAGCCTTAGCCTTAGTGGGAAGGCAGGTTTGCAGCCAAGGATAAGACTGTAAAATGCCCTCAACTCACCTCTTTTCCTTGGAGCTTCGCCCCAGGAGACAATTACAATCCAACAGGTCTTTGGTTCAGAGGTGCTTTACTGATGTGGAATACAAATTTGGGAGGAAAAAAAATGCTGCTTTTAACTCCAGCTATATTTATCAATCAGTTCTTCTCCAGCAAAGCACAGCGGGTGCCTGGAGCCTGGAATGAGCAGCTGGTGTGGCCGAGGGCAAGGCTGTGTTACTTTTGGCAGCAGTGCTGGCAATAGCTGGCTGGAAGCATTTGTGAAATTATGGCCTGTGGGGGCACTTCTGGTTTATGCTGACGTGTGTGCAGGCTGCCACTGAAACAGGCCCTCTCACTGGCTCATCCTGGCACTGGTGTTTGTTCGGCTGCAGGATCAGCTGGCTGCCAAAATTGATCCTGCTGGAAACTTTTTTTTTTTTTTTTGTAAACTGGATTAGCTTTCAGCTCTGTTGGCAAGCTGATCTGGCTTAACGTGTGGCTGCATGAAGTGTTGAGCCAGCAGAGAGGAGGCATCAGGAAAGCATGACTAAGGAAAGGGGAAAGGATGGAATGATGACTTTTGCCAGTAGCACAGTCTCGTCTTGGCTTAACCCCCTGAGAATCTGACTGTCAGGGTAGAGTTACCTGTTACAGCTTGAGTCACATTAATGGCTTGCTTCCACTGAATGAGAAAAATCTTGTTCCTCTTTTCCTCGCTCTTCTGATATTAGACCTGGTGATTGTCTAATCTTGCATTGAACTGATTTAACTTGTTGAATCAGCACAAAACTCACCTCGACAAAGAAAAGGGAATAGTGTTCTGCTGGCTGAGTGGGTGGAATCAGCTTGGAAAAGCATCTGCAGAGGCTGGCAGAGCTGGGATGGGCAAGGGGAGTAGTAGCTGTCAGCTCTGAGGTTGCTGACTGAACCACAATACAGAGCTTCAATTTCAGAAACAGTGCTCCAGTCTCCGGGCATAGTGCTTATTGGAAGAGCCATGATCTGGGTTCTCTCTGTAGTTTAAAGATGACAGTAGACAATTGCCCTTTCTCTTAAAACAAATATGGTGCTTGTCTTGAAATTCTGGAAATTGCTACTATCGTATAATTCCTTCCAAATTTCTACCCCTGTGTTTTCAACCCTCCCATAAATAAGTGGCATTTATTCTTACACCTCCTTTCAAGCTGGACTTCTCCTTTAAGCCTAGATTTCCCTTGGCTTTGTTCATCTATGACTCTACAGATCTACAAATGTTCTTTTACATCAGACAGAGCTTTTTTCTGAAGTTTCCACAACTAGCCTTTGATGCTGCCTTGGGAAGACACTGTGCTCTCGGATGCAGGAATGCAAGCTCATAAACAAACTGCTACTGAAAGTGCTGTTACTGAACCAGAGTTAAAAAGTATAGAAAGATGGACTTGTATGTGTGCAGAACGGTTGTGTGCGACTCTATCAGTCAGATAAGAAGTAGAAGAGTGTCCAAATTCTGTTTGATCATGGTCAGGACAGCTGTGGGACACTTAAGTAGGGTGCTGGCTGGGCAGTGTTTCTATCCACCAAGCACAGAAATCGTGCTGTGTGTTTGCCCAGAAGTTTAAACTTTCCTCTTTGACAGAAGAAATCAAAGGCAAGGAGGGACAAGTGGACCTAATAAAGAGGCATTATCCCAGGTGGGCAGGCAACCACTCTTCCACCCATTCAGCTCCTTCTTCATTTATAAGGAGACAGAGTTGGACCAGCCTGAAGAATTAATAGAGAATAAAACATACAATAAAAATATATCAAGGAAAAATGTTATGAGAAATCTAAAGTGCCATGTTGTTGTTAATCTTTAACCATAAAATTACAGAGAAGATCAATAGGACCCAGAAATGCTTGTTATAAAGGTGACTGTTGGGAAAGTGTAGACAAGGAGTACTCAGTAAATGTAAATGCACAAGCATTGGGGTATCACTTGAAAGCAGTTTAGGTGGCTGAGGGAAACTACCTGGAATTACTTGTTTTTAGTAAACAGCAAACAAGATGCTGGACAATTAAGAAGAAACAAGCAGGATGTTGAAATACATCCAAAGGTCTCAGTTGCTTTTGTGCAGCAACTCTACCTCCTGGGGCTATTCTCCAGTGGATAGTGGAAGAATTGCCTCAGTGTGTAGGAACTCTGAAAGGGATTTTCAAAAATGCTTGTCCTTGGTCAGACTGTTCCCATTGAGTTCAGCTGAGCAGGCAGGCCAGCTTGGGTGGGGCAGCAAGGAGAGAAAGTGAGGAGTAACTGACTGCAGTAAATTGGGGAAGCATAACCTTGGCATGTTATTGAATGGCTTTTAAGATCCAGATTCCTGAATAATACTAAGAAATATGTCAGATGCGTGAGGACGCTTCATTTTTTAGAAATACAGTCTGATTTGTGAGGTTCCTTGTGTAGGTAGTCCTGGAGGTGTAGAGTCTCCCCTGTGCTGGTGAATGATGTGACTGCAGTGGGTGCAGAGTAGGGGAGTGAAGGGATGCAGGAGGCAGAGTATGTACATTTGTGAAGGACTTGTGATGTAGTATTTCACAAAGTCTGACTTGAAAAAAAAGCTCAGTTTGATGTGAGACCTGTTCTATTGACTGAGAACTAACAACTGCAAAATATAAATGTCTTCTGACGTCTCAGCACTTCCAGACTCAGTTTTATAGACCTGTAACTAGAATGTTCTTTCAAGTGGACATGGGATCTGTTCTGCTCCATCTCCCTGGGACTAGTCAGTGTTATTGTGGAAAACTTGCACGTTTTACAGGCCACGTTAACTCGCTAAGAGACTCACCAGCTGGAAATAGTATAACTAGTGTGTTCAAGCAAATAAGAATGAGTCGCTATTCTTTTATGAAGCACACAAGGCTGTCTGTCTCAAATTATGTTATTTTTCCTCGTAAGTGCTTTCGGAAGGTGGCAGATGCCCAGCAGGATTGCCACCCAGCAGCGCCCCTCCTTAGGCTGTTCAACGTGCGCCTGTAAGCTGCAGGCTCAAGTGTAATTTAACAGAGTTAACAAACAACAGAAACCCGCATATATCTCGGCGGAGGCACAGTCTGCAGCCTCGTCCGCCGCCTTAGGCCAGCAGCATCCACCGCCCGCCCTCTCTCCCGGCAGCTCCGGAGGCTTTCCTGGCCGCTCACAGGCAAGCGGAGGAAGGGAAGAGCCGCAGCAGCTCCTGCCCTGGGGCTGGATCGGGGGCCGCGGGCCAAGGTGGGTGGGACGGCTGGGCAGCAGCTCCCTGTCGATCGGGCCGGGGCCGGGTGGCGGGCCCGGAAGGCGGGCGGCGGGCGGCGGGCGGCGGGCGGGGCGGGAGCGGAGCCGAGCGGAGCCGTGCGAGTGACAGAGGCGGCGGGTCCTCCCCGCGGCCCCGGCCTGCCATGGTGAGTGGCGGGGCCCGGGGGCGGCAGGACGGGCGGGCGCGGCCGGGCGAGCGCAGGCCGCGGCTTTGTGAGAGGCGGCGGCAGCGCCGGCCCAGGGGACGCCGCGGCCGGAGGTGCCTGTTCCGCTGTCAGCTGCCATCCGCCGTGAGCCCCGCTGTGCTTCGCGGGGCCCGGGCGGACCAGCGGGGCCTCCCTGCCACGGGCTGCGGTGCCCCGCGGAGCGCCGTGACCCCCGCGGAGGCCAGGGCCGGCGGCTGGCTGTAGTGCCATCGCTTAGGGGCGATTCCCCGGTGGAATTGGAGAGGGGGATTGTAACCAGGAGCGGCCAGGGAACCTCTGCCAGGTCAAGGGACAATGGCGGTGAGCGCGGGGGCCAGCGTTGGGGCAGCCCCTGCGCTCGACAGACCCTGGGGCTGGGGGTGAAATGGTGCTCGTGGGGCTGCGAATGCACTGAGCACAAATTGCTTATTTCTACAGGCCTTCCTGCCTTTCTAGAGTCTGAACGGGTTGGATCTGCCTGGTGCTCCTGGAAAAACTTCTGGCCATGAAATACCAGGATTAAAGCATGGGCAATTTACCCAGGTCTTTTTTGGTTGTCTGGATAGCAGCCTTTCAGGAGCTGAAAGGGGCCTACAGGGAAGCCAGAGAGGGACTTTTCATCAGGAGCTATAATGACAGGACAAGGAGTAATGGGTACAAACTGAAAGAGGAGAGGTTTTGTTTCGTTATTGGGAAGAAATTCTTTACTGTGAGGGTGGCGAGGTTGCCGAGGGAGACTGTGGATGCCTGAATCCTGGTAGTGTTCAAGGCAGGTTAGGTTAGGCCTTGGGTAACCTGGTCTAGTGGTTGGAGTCCTTACCCATGGCAGGGGGAGTTGGGACAAGATAATCTTCAAAGTCCTTTTCAACCCCTTAACATTCTATGATCCTATATTACCTATGCTCATGGAGGTCAGTTGTTCCAAATTAAAATGTATACAATGGCCTTCCATTAGGTAAGAGTTTCTCTCAGTGGGATGAGCAGGGTTAAGATCATTGCTGCTGGAAGGAGGGTCTTCCATCTCGCTTCCCCTCTGTGTGGGACTCGTTTTAGGGTGGATTCAACACACCAGTCTGACAGAAGGCTGGTGAAATTGCTCATAGGGGGTCCTGACACATACTTGCCAAGAAAGGGTGATGAGATCTCTCCTGACTATCTCAACTACTTGTAGAAATGTACCTTGAACTTGGTCAAGTCTCATTAAGAATAATTACACGTCATTGCAGGAAACTTGCACTTCAGGAGTTACCTTTTTGTTTTGTTTGAAGCCTGGTGAAATTCTAATTTTGCTTTCAGCATGCTGCTGGCTGATAAACCCAACTTCTGTGCTGAGAAGCATGCTAAATGAATTTATTTCTGGAGTGTGGGAAAAAGCTACTGTGGTTCTTTTTGCTTTTATGGTTTGATGTTGTTTGCCGTTCTTCTTCCTAATGATAAAATTATGCAAGTTGCTATTGCTGATGGGTGACATATGTTGGGTTTGTACCCAGAGATGCTTTTGCTCTGTGTGCTACAAGTAGTTCCAGAGCCACCCAAACGTGGGTCAGAAGTAACACAGAGAAATTCCCAGTGGAAAAGTTGAAATGTCGCTGTAGCTCATCATTCAAATACCAGGTTGCTAAAGAGTGTTTCAATCCACAAATGATTTACTGTCTGAAATAAATATCCTAAAGAAGACAGAAGTTAATCTGTCCAACCAGTCATACAAGTCTTCAGTATTTTTGGTTTGGCATTTCTGGTGTTGTAAGAGGGGGAGGGAGGAAGTTTGTAGACCTGCCCATTAATTTTTTAAAAAATCCAATGTTTTAAATGATGTTGTACAAAGGTTTTGAAATTCAGTTATATTTATAAAGCGTAATTATGTAATTCAGTAAGTGGGGTTGGAATGCAACAGGACAGTTTTAGTTGGATCATGAAGCCTTTTTGTGTATGTTTTTTGTATTTTTAAGAGTGTGAAAATCTTCAATGTTTGTCCTGCAATTTTGATGGAAAGTGTTATAGTAAGCATTTTCTGCATTGGCTTGCAGTTCTTGCTGTCAGGCATGCAAAGCTGTTTTTCCAGCTCCCTAACTGGGAAGTAAAATCCTCCCTGGTAAAGGAGATGGACCAGAGCAAATATTTTCTGCTCTGTGCATTTCCATTTACTAAGAGATGGAAAACTGTCATTTTAGTTTTGTACTTATTATCCTCTTGACACATGAGCAAAACTGATCTTTGTGCTGCTACAGTGGCTAAAAGCTATGAGTACAAGTTGGAAAGAGAGAGCTGCTCACAAAAAGGAAGACTCGAGTGGAGGGATGAAATTATCATCTTCCTGTCATCCCATTATTTTTAGCACTAGGAAAAAGACGGAAGAGAAACGTTGCTTTGAGAGCATGAAAGGTGCTTCAAAACTACATTCTCCTTGCAGAAAATGAGGTATCTGAATGGGATCTGTGGGCGTATGGGAAACCCATTAGTTAGAGTTATTAGGCCTTTTCTCTGGGACTTTGTCCCCAGTTGTAGTAGTGGCTTCTTCTGCCTCCTGACTTTAGTTCTGAGTAAAAAAAGCTGGCAACTTTTCCAAAGTCTCTTTTTTCCAACAGGCACAGAGAATATGTGGAGGAGCATAAGCACATAAGCATGCTTGTCTCAAACATTCTGCTGTGACAGGAAAGTTGGGATTGGAAGGGCGGGTCCTGCTGGGGCAGGGCAGCGCTTTTGTGAGCCAGCTTCCCTTTCACTGCTGGGCTTGTAAGTCAGCCTGGAGGCTCGCATTTAGTGTGACTGCGGAAAGAGAAGGGTCAAGCCCCGGGCACCTCACTGAAGGGGGCTACCAGCCCACCACAGGCCCCAGCCCCCACTCATTTCCTGAAGGGCTCTAAGGGCAGCAAAAGCAGCAGCAAAGGGCGCAAAAAATGAGGGGAACTAAAAGGGAGTGGGTCAGGCCGGGGCTTTTGTTGATCCCAGATCTCGACTGTACACAGTGGCAGGACCATTTGGCATCTAAGGACTGGTGGTCTTTTTCCTTCACTTTCTCTATTTTCCATCGTTACTCTCTTCTCTCTTGTTCTATCCCAGCAAGGGCGGCAATTGGATCTTACCCCTTGCTCTGTGCCGAAGTTTGCTGGGAGAGTTGGGAGCTTGGTAAAGTTCTTTGTAAAAGTTAAGAGCTTGCTAGCCAACACTTCAGCAAATAAATAGTGGGATAGCTGTCAGAGTTAAGGTGGCTAATTTCTACTGAATTTCCAGGTTGTGACAACCCCTCCACTTGAGAAGCATGGGAGGTTTGCTTACACTTCCCAAGAATGGCTTTTACTGTGAAGTCTCACTGGGACTATTGGCCCCTTTTGTGAAGGAAAGTCAGGACTGACCTCACCTTTCTTCCTGATAGTGAACTTTTCTTTCCTTGGATCAGTGGTATTGATTTTATTGCTCTTCTTGTCCTGTGCAGCGTGGATCTTCCCTTGCAGCTCTCTTCTTGGCTCCCACGTTTTCCATTTCATATTTCTTTGAGGAGACAAAAACCTTAGAAATTACATTAATTAGAAGCTCATTCACATGCCTTGATGCCACAGCAGTACTTTGATGCACTTTCTTGTGATGTCTTTCAATTTATAAAAGGAATTTTATTACATATATATGGATATATGTTGTATAATTTGGAAGGAATTTATGCAAGGGAAGCGTCTTTCCAATTATAGCTCAAAACTAAGTGTATGAGAGCTTTGAATGATATAGATTGTCACCTATTTTGGTCTTTATTAGCTATTTGTTTTCTTAGAGCATGCTGTAAGTTACAAGGTGTCTGCATCTGAGAACTGGGCTTTAGTTAGAGGCAGGGGGAGGGTAGTGCGCTGGGTCCTTTCACTGAGACTTTCCAGTAGGAAGGATTACATGATAAATATTCTTCCTGTAGGTTCTCTCCACAGAAAGGAATTACTGAGGCATGAATGCTGTGAGAATGGAATTGGAAATAGAAATTGATGAATAAAAATGTTTAACAGTTTTGTTTCATGATGAATTATCAAGGATTATGGGTAGCTGTTATTTAAAGTATTTTAACTTTGTGCTGAATAGCTGAATAGTAACACATTCAGCTGGTTATTTAAAAATATTGCAGGAGGAAGAGAAAAGGTAATTCTTAAAGTGAGTGGTGACTCTCCTTTGGCCTTGCAAATAGAGCAAAAAGACACATCATGTGCTCTGTAGCAGCAGAAATACTGCAGCTGGGCTTTTTCAGTCATTTTTAGTATTGTCTACAGTACCAGTGCGTGGGGTTTGAAACTGGAAGCTTTGGATGAGTGGAGCAAGTAGAAAGTAATCAAATCTCAGCAGGATGTATTGGCTGGGTATCTTTTGTGCAAATCCTTTTTCTATGTATTGCATCAGCAAGGAAAGATATAAGTCTTGCACTGTTATTATGAGTACATGTGTTATTTTCTTTCAGAATCCTTGCTGGAATTGGCAAGCTTTCTTTTCCAGCATTTCTAGTTGAGAGTCCAAAAAAAAGGCTCTGCCTGAGCATTACACCATTCTTGTGCCTGCCATTTGCTGGCCAGATACCGCAGCCAAGGGGGACTGGCAGCAAAAAACCCAGCTGAGGCTCTGTCTTAAGGATACTGGAGGAAAAAATACATCCTTTTCTCACCGAGATGTGTCTCAGATGGAGATTGACTTTTGTATGGTCTCCTTGAGGGAGAAATGAGTTTTGTAAGTTCTGTTACTGTATTTTTACTCTTTCCTAGGATATGATGGAGCTCCTAGAGGAAGATCTGACCTGTCCCATTTGCTGTAGCCTGTTTGATGATCCTCGTGTCCTGCCCTGTTCACACAATTTCTGCAGAAAGTGTCTGGAAGGAATTCTTGAGGGAAATGTGCGGAATGTGCTTTGGAGGCCATCCCCTTTCAAGTGCCCCACATGCAGGAAGGAGACTCCTGTCACTGGAGTCAACAGCTTGCAGGTCAACTATTCCCTGAAAGGTATCGTGGAGAAGTACAACAAAATTAAAGTGACTCCAAAAATGCCTGTGTGCAAAGTGCACAGTGGGCAACCCCTTAATATTTTTTGCCGGACAGACATGCAGCTGATCTGTGGGGTTTGTGCCACCCGTGGTGACCACACAAAGCATGTTTTCTGTTCCATTGAAGAAGCTTATTCCCAGGAGAAGCGGGCTTTTGAAACCTTGTTTCAGGGCTTTGAAACTTGGCGTTGTGGAGATGCCCTCTCACGGCTGGATACTTTAGAGACCAGTAAGAGAAAAGCTCTGCAGATGCTCACAAAAGATTCTGACAAAGTGAAGGAGTTCTTTGAGAAGCTGCAGCACACACTGGAGCAGAAGCGAAATGAGATTCTGTCTGACTTTGAGACCATGAAGCTTGCAGTGATGCAGGCCTATGATCCGGAAATCAATAAACTGAACACGATTCTGCAGGAGCAGCGGATGGCTTTTAACATTGCAGAGGCCTTCAAAGATGTGTCTGAACCCATTATATTTCTGCAGCAGATGCAGGAGTTCAGGGAAAAAATCAAGGTGCTCAAAGAGACCCCTTTACCTTGTTCCACAGTGGACATCAGTCCCACAATGAAGAGCTTTGATACCAGCCAGTGGAATGGAATAAAACTTGTTGATGTGGACAAACTTTCCTTGCCTCAGGAAAGCAACACTTTTAAATTCAAGATTCCCTCAGTCTTTTCACGCAGATTTATAGTGAACTCCCTTATTTTCTTGCTCATTCTTGCTGTCACCAGAATGTCCTTTGTGGAGTCGGTCATTGACAATCTCCAGTGCTGGAAATCTCAGTTCCTTACAATTAGCTTGTCCTATTTGGCAGATACCGTGGAGATAGCAGATCATGCAGTCTTTTACTGGGAACAGATGACAGATGGAGCTTCACTTTTAAGAGAAAAGTGTAAAAACTATACGTTGGTTGTACTGGATAACGTCGCACAGTTTGTGTGCAAATATAAACTGTTGTGAAGTGTCTGCTGGAATATAAGAACTAAGAGAGATCTGGGGAAGAAAACACGAAACTTCTTAAATTAATTGGTCTTTTCAGACTTCCAGTGAAAACATACAAAGATTCAAAATTATTCCAAAACATTCCTAATGTTCACATAGTTTGAGCACTGCTAAACCAGAAAATGAAATGGAGCTTTGAAAAACACTTTGTAGATTCTTCTTTCAGTGGCAATTATGGGAATATTACTCACTGTAAATCATTTTTCTTATCAAACTATAGAGCAAAACTATCTTTAATTTGATGTTGATGTAACTGTAGAATAAGATAAAAAGATTGTAGTTTAAAAAAAATTTCTAACTGGGAGGTCGTTTGGAAAGAGGAAGAAGTGTTGTGATTGAGGTGAGCACTGTGCTGACAGGTTTGCTGAGGACTGCCCTTCCACTGCAAAATGCAGCATGCATTATTCACATTCTGGAACCTGCTTCTATCTGATGCTGTTAGTTCTCTCTGTATGTTTTGGTTTGGTTTTGTGTTCTTATTTTTTTTGTATAACCAAATGTTGTAATTACCCTGTGCATTCAGATTACATGTCCTATTAAAAAATGCATCTTCAGGGCAAGCATAAATTCTAGAGGTAATGATAAGAACAAGCTGCAAGACGATATGTGCTTTGAAGATAGTTCATACCTTGCAGTTTACTTTTCCAATATCAAATTGTTGGGGTAGCTCAGCTGTTTTGTTAGATCCATATTTCTCTGAAGCCATACTTTCTTAAAAACTGGTTTTAACATAAAGTGCTTGGTGCAGTGAAAGGCATGCAGGGGTCTGCGACAGGAAGGCAGCCTGGGCTCTAGCCCTCCAGAAGTGCCAGGTACAACAGCTGCTCTCCTGTCCCTCTCTGCCTCTGCAGATTGCAATTCCAAAAGCCAGGAAAAATGATGGGATGATTCCTGGAAGAGATTTTGTGATGCAGCAGGTATATGGATGTTGGTGGTCTTTGAAGAACCTTGTATAGATTCTTCTGCTGTTACTGTATTTTTGAGTATCTCATTTCAGGAGCTAGTTGAATTTTCTGGTTGTATTGACATGGCCTTAGATAACAGTGATTTAAAGGGAACCTTAAGCTTGAGTTCTCTGAAGTGCCCTTCTTTCGGAGCATATGGTACTGAAATGTCTTGCCTGAAGCACATCTAACCTCTTTTTGCAGTGGTCCTGTGAACAGCAGCATACAGAATGAAAACGTTGAACTGATATTTCTAGAAATTAAACATAACATGTGCCATACTTTGGGAATATTTGTTTTCCTCTCTCAAGGTTTCAATTCACTGTATTCTGGTAGCCCTTGCAAGCTGTTCATTTCAAAAATAAAACATTAAATCCCAAGAATCAAAGTTTCCAAGCAACCAAACCCAGCAAACAAAACTATTGTACATGATATTTACACCTTTGTTGCCTGGGAATCCCGTTGCTGCTCCACACCTCACTCCAAACACTTCCTAAATGCACACAATGGTTCTTGCAGCTGCCTTGCAGTTTAGGAAAGATCAAGTCACAGACATGTAGATCAGAGAGCTGCTATTCCTGAGTGGCTGAGGTAGCCATGAGTAGTCGGGAGTTGGTCTTTCTGAGTGTGGGAGGTGTGAGATTTGTAACCCGGGCTTCTACCTTGCAGCAGTTCCCTGAGTCCAGGCTGGCACGGATGGTGAATGATGATGACCCAGAATTTAAACTGGTGAATGGAGAGTTTTTTGTGGACAGAGATGGAGCTTTGTTTAGTTACATCATGGACTTCTTGAGGACTCTCCAGGTGTCCTTACCAACTGATTTCTCAGACTATCAGAGGCTGCAGAGAGAAGCAGAATACTATGGACTTTACCCCCTGGCCGACCTCCTGAGCCAAGAACATTTGCTGAAGCCGAGGCTGGAGATCTTGGAAGTGCGTTTTTCTCTTCAAGAAATGCAGGCCTTTTTCCGGATCTTTGGTTCCTGCAGTACCACCATTGAGGCACTAGCTGAGCAGATCACTGTATTTACAGGGCAGCAGTCAGGACAGGGCTGGAACAGCCCCTTTTCTTCTCAGAAACGACTTGTTCCACTTCCTTTGGAAAGACCCTCTCATCATGATATGGTTTTTCTGTGTGGTACTGAGTATTCTGCTGGTGACCAGGTCGTGGCCAGGTACTGTCCATAGAGTGACTTCTTAACATGTCTTTGTGACTCCCAGTTCATGAAGTGCACGCTACGTGCAAGCAAACCTCATTTTAAAGAAACTGAAAGAAATGTGTTTCCTTCTTTCTGTTCAATGTTATTTTTTTCTAGTTCTGAAACATAGAGCTTAATTTGTTACACTGATTTGTGTGTTCTTCAGCTTTCTAAAATACTGTTCTTGATGTTTGTTTATGAGCTCTCTTGGGTTTTTCTCTCTCTCTGCCATTTTTTCTGCTTTCCACTTTAGAATTTGACAGTATCACCTTCTAGACAGAATGAAAAACACAGTAAAATGAAGCAAAGGAAACAAAGTAAAGAAGTAAAGTACTGAGGGGAAGCCTAAAATCTCCACTAGCTTATGGTGAAAAGGCTTTCATATGGAAAGCAGGAAACAGAGAATGGCAAGAAGGGTTTAAAACTCCAGTGGAACTGAGACACCATTTCAGGGGCTGGAAAGCTTTTGTAGAGCTTTTTATTAGGGGGAGGGAGAAGAGACAGATTATTAACTATATGCTTCACAATGGGTTTTCTTTGAATTCAGAGCCAGGTTCTGTTTTTATTAAGATAACTGCGTATCAGTAATCTTTGTGATACCAGTATCATATTCTAATGACTACTTAGGTTTTTTAAACTATCTTTTGCTGGATGTCTCTATTGCATGGAGACATGTTCTTACTGTATAAGAAAATGTTAGCCTAATTTGTCCTTTGTGGCTGTTAGAACATCTGGAATTCTATGGAAATTTCGCTGAAATATTTCCAAAAGTGTTATTCTATTTGAATATAAGGAACAACACAGCAGTCTTTCGATTATTTTGTAAAGAAAATAAAGTTTATATCTCTTCCAGCTTTCTTTGGCTAGGCAAGTAGAATAAAAACTACTTTGCATTTGTGGAGCAATAGATATGTTTGTGTGCCAAACCTTAACTTTGTAACATACTACTAATTTTAATGGACTAGCAATTTGTTGAGTAGGTTATGGCAACTTAAGTAGTGGGGAAAATATTTCTGATTTTTTAATTCATTTCTTCAGACTTGGTAAAAATTTCCCTCTGCAGATCAATAGAGAAGCTTATCTTGAGTAATGGAACAAGTCAAATTTGATTATGTTGCCTTGCTGAATTTCTATCATCTTCATATTTGTGGTGACATGGGACTTTTTTGCCTTTCTTGTGCTTTCCATGAATGTTTGGTGTACTTGCCTGTGAACTGTGGAACAGTTTCACCCATCAGTTTATATATTTTGTAATAGTATTTTTACCTGACTTCTGCTCCTGAGAATGTCTCGTATAGACATCTGGATAGATTCTTACACTGTACTTTATATCAAATAAAATCTTTTGAGGCCATGTGAAAATGATTTTCATATTTGTTACCACACAACCTGCTGTACAAGGTAACTTTGTAATAAATGTCACTATTTGGAGAGAGAGAGATCCTGTGTGTTGGAGAGTGATATTCTTGGGGTGAACGTGACTCTGCTGTCCATCATTTACTCCCACTTGAAAAATTGTTGCAGCATTGCCGAGCCTGCTGCTCCCTTTCCTTAAGTGAGACAAGATGGGGGTTGTCACAGATATTTCTTAAGAAATTAAGTTTTGTGGCGGGGGAGGGTGTGAAAGAGAAGTGCTTCTTCCCCAGCACATAACTGGATGAACTGAGAATTACTCTTAATGAAGGAAAGAGTCCAGTTGTCCTTAAAGGAGGAAAAAAATATCTGGAGCCTTGGTTGCTGTAAACACAGAGCAGCTGTGCTGATCTACACTGTCAAGAAGTAGTCAAGTGTGTTGTAACTGCCTTTTTTTTTTTTTTTTTCTGATTTTAGGTATGTTTCCATAAAGCCTGATAATAGAAAGCTGATTAATGGTACTAATGTGCTAGGCCTGCTGCTTGACAGTTTACTCAAAGATGGATTTCGCCTCATAAGCACCAGGACAGTTGCCAGTGAAGAGAAGGTTGAATGCTACACTTTTGAAAGGATGAAGAAGGCAGCAGGCCTTGCCATCATGGTGAACCAAACTGCAGGGAGCTCCGGGGTAGCACAGGCAAGGAGAAGCCAAATACAGAAAGGGAAATAAAGGCTTTTTCTTCCATCTTTTGAATGTAGAAGAGGCATGTGTCAGCACTAGTGGCCATTTTTTGTTGTTGTTGTTGTTGTTTTGGCTTGTTTGAAACTGCAGCTATTGAGGGAAGTAATAAACATGTTTTCTTTCAAGTATTTAGGGGGAAAAATGGCTTTCTTGCCTTTTAGTGCTCCACCCTCTTTAAGTAAAAGAAGCCCACCAGATTTCAGCATTTCCAAGAGTTGTTTTTGTTTTTTCTCTGTGGATAAAAGTTACATGAGGACTCACAACGCATCAGCCATCTCTTCTAGAAAATTGTTTTTATGTTCTGTGCTAATCTGCAAATAGATTTTAAAAACATAGTAATACATGAAGAAATAACATCTTGATGCAACTGTCATCCCAACAGTTTGGAGAAGTGACTGGAGGAGGAATGCAAACCCCAATGACTGATTAGTGCTTCCACTCACTGACTCTCTTGCAGTTGGCTGAGAGCAGTGTAAGGCAAACATCCCTAGCTGTGCTGCTGTGTGGCTTTGTGAAAGCTGTCACTGAGGTTTGTGAAATAACATGTGACTGCCTCTTGCAGAACACTCCTCTGTCCTCTCCTCCCACTCTGGTGACATTAAGATGCTCTTCGGTTTGAGAATTAAATGATAAAGATATTTGTGAACAGAAGGTCAGTTAATTTTTAGTGCTTTCACCATAAAAAGGATGAAAATGTGATAAATAGCCCTTCAGATCAAAGAGTTTGTACAGTGTCAAACAAAATAGTGCAAAGGATTTTTTAGCACTTGTTAAGTACAACACAGTTGGAAGGCTTAGCAGAAGTGGCTTTAAGAGCCTTGGGAATGTTAGTCCTGTACAAAGCTTTGTAAAGATGCCAAAATCAGCTCAGGTACTTAGAGAGGTAAGTTAATGAAGCTTTATAAGTTGAGAATCTTTTGTCCTTCCATCAAGGCAGGGAAAGAAGATAGCAATAACTTCAGGGATTCATTAGTTGCATCTCAATTTTGTTGCTGGTAAAACACCATCTTCTCAAGGCTTCAAACAGCCCAGGAGAACCACTTTGGGCTTTCTTGGCTGACCAATTAGATCTGGATTTTCATTAGTTTTAAAATGTGAACACATTACTTTATTTGCAGCACTTGATAATGGGGGTGGGACTCAGCCATATGTTTCTTGCCCTGAGTTTCAGTGAAATGGATCTTCCCAGACTGGTGGTGCCACTGTCGGACACCTCTTTTCTTTGGCTACTGCTCTGGGGCATTTTAGCTTTACCCAAGTTCAGAAGCTCAGCAGAAACAGTGAGGTCCTCTTTGCTTGTTCTAGAGCTGTTCAGGTTGAGAATATGATTATGGGACTACATCTCCTAAGATGTTTACAGGTTATGTAATGTAATAAATAGGCATGTAAGAGTGAATGCTTTCACTTCAAATGGGATTTTTTTGGTCAATAGTGTCAATATGTTCCTATTTGTCAAGAAAATATTTCTTACAATGAGAACCATCATTCACTGAACAACCTCCCCACAGATGTGGTGGAGTCTCCATTGTTAGAAGTTTTGAAGAGGATGCTAAATGATTTAATGGAGGCTCTGTTTCACATGAAAGGCTGGACCAGATGATCTTTTGAGTTCCCTTCCAGTTTGGCCTATTCCATGATTCCGTGGAGACCTTCTGTGAAGGTCTGTGCTAGAAAGCCTATCGTGGTGGGCTCTGAGGTCAGACACTGTGGGGTGATAGAGCAGACAAGCTGTGTGGGATGACTGTCCCCACAAGTTGCTCTGCTGGAGACAACACTCCTTGTTTGGAAACTATAATGTTGATTATTGGGTGAGTCATTGACTGTGGATATTGTAGGTGGAGGGACTAGCCAATAATAATGTGAAGCATGAGACAAAAAAAAAAAAAGCAACTTCTTAACACAGGGAAAGTTAAAAAAATAGACTCGAGACTGTATTTAGACATGATGCCCTAAATGATCACCAATAGCAATGATGTAAGCTGAGACAAGTTTCAGAACCCCTCATAGTAACAATTTCACCTGCCACAAAAGTAGGCACTTGGTTTTCCTTGCTTCAGCAGCAACTTTGAAAAACGAAGTTTGGATTCCAACCTTTTTTTTTTTTTTTTTTTTTTTTTTTTTTTTTTAATAAAATGAAAGAAAAAACAAAATACTTCAATTTTTAAAGAGCCCTGAAGTTTTAACCTATGCCATCATCCATGTTCCATGTCTTCGGCAAAATGAATGTTTGATACAACCGTTCCAGTAACACTTTATGATGGGCTGAACACTTTCTGGTTCCCCTCATGGGTTAATTTTTATTTAGCACCAGCATCATTTTATGAATGCAATATTTGGCTCTGGAAAATATACCAGTGCAAGTTGCTGTCATGTAAAGAGCCATATGTGCTTTACCTTGCCCTTGGGTAACAGTGCGCTGTGACTCTGTGCTTCTTTTGGAAGCAAAGCACATGACCATCAACAAGCTTGGGTTCCCAGAGTTCTTCAAGCATTTATTCTTACTTAGCTCTGAACTGAGAAGTCTCACCTTCTGTTATTTTGTGTTCCTGCAGAGAACATGACTAGGCTCTTACACAATGCTTTCACTTTGTTGTTTCGTTTTGTTTTGTTTTTTAACTGGTAGTTCCTTAAATAAGTTTGACAGCATGTGTGTGAACAACTTGATAGAAATTTGTTGAAAGTGTCTGACTGATGCCAGTAAAATACCCCTGACTTTAATGGAAGATTGATTGAATAAATTAATTTAATTGAAGCTGGTTCTTCAAGGAAAGCACCTTACTGGATTTCTTTATACAGAAAAAGGAAGCAGTGATGGTAGAGCTACAGGTGTTGTGTAGCTCCAAGCTACAACTAAATAGCAGTAATTATGAAGGAACAGGTGAAATTATGTTCATTTGCAGATGAATTAATATAAAAATAGCGCTGATTTACTAGGAGGATCTTCAGCTGGCCTCTACTTTGCGAGGTTATTTATACAACTGTAAAGTGTTGCTGAGCCAGGATGGCAATTTTTCTGTGCCCTCTTTGAAGTGGTATGCAGAGTAACCTGCAGGCACCAAGGCAGGAATTTAGAAGTAGTGGCCAGTGTTTTCACTGCACCTTCCCTTCTGAAGCCCCAAAAAAGCAAGGATGCAGCAGAGAGCAGGCTGTGTGGTGTGTGCTCAGCAGAGTAGTTCACACAGAAGGGAACAGCTGTACAAGTGAATTTGGCTGATAGGAACTATGAGTCTGAGTGATTTTAAAAGCTGGTTTGTCAAAACCAGATTATGTGCTAAAGTAAGTACTTCCACCCAAACCTTGGCAGGCAATTCAACTCTGGTATCTCACAACACGATCTCTGCTGGGCTAGCAGTGTGTTGTAGGTGACTTGGTTGTGCTTTGATATATGACAGAACCAAAAACTCTGATTTCTCACATCTAGCTCTATTCTTGATTAAATAGGGATTGGTTTTTGAGATATTTAGACTTTTATTTTCCAATAAAGTAATTTGTTATCCCTGACATAATCCATTTATTCAAGTCATTGCCACCTTTTTCAAGAGAATTCCTATTTTTCCTGTGAAGATGCAAAATTTGCTGATTTCAGTAAACTTCACTGCTGTATTTGCCTTTTTATTCTTCACTGGATTCAGCAGAAATGTGCAAACTGTTCCACTGCCTGTGATGCTAGAAAGGGACTGCCACAGTGCTGGGGCAGCTCACTCACTCACTCACTCACTCACTCACTCACTCACTCACTCACTCACTCACTCACTCACTCACTCACTCACAGTGAGCTCTCTGTGGCTTTGTAATAGGCAAGCAGACAGAGCCCTAGGGGAAAGAGAAACTGAATGGCAGTACCATCATCCTGTCCCACTCATGGGACTCAGTTTACATGGCAGAAGGAGATCATCCAAAATGAGGTTATAGTTTGCAGGACTTGCAAAAGGCAGATAATTCAGAAAAAATGCCTCATTTGCTTTACACTTTCTCATTTTAATCACTTTCCCCTCCTTTACAGTTGGGTTTCATCCTGTGTTTCTCTATTCAAGACTGTCAAGGACTTTGCTGGTACAATCTTGTGGTGCCAGTTGGATGTCCCAACAAGATAGAAGTACCACACACTTTTTCCATCCCCCTGTTCTTGCACCATGTTGACTTCCTTTTCTAGTGATTTGTGACATTTTTTGTGCTTTTAAGTAACTTTTGCCTGCTTCTACACACACTGGGAAGTTTCTCTTGATCTTATTCCTTTCAGGGACATATCATTTATTTACCACTTGAATTGTTCAGTATTCTGCTGACCAGGAAGGACAGTCTGTTTTGAAATACCTTCTTGTTCTTTGGCTATTGATTTCAATGATAGTTCATGAGGGTTTTTGTTTCTTTGGGAAGTGCAATCACTGCATTCTTATAGGTTCTGCAGTCAGCACTCATGTGATTGTATAAAGGATTAAGAATAGATGCTTAAATAAACCTCTAGAAATTTATACAATAGACTAAGATACTGTTTAGACTAAGACTAATCTCTTCGCATTGGCAATAGTACTGGGAAGTTTTCCCCTTTACTAAATAATTCCAAACCATTTTTCATTTACCTTCATAGTTGAATTTCATGGAAGTAGTAGAAGATCTTCCCTACAATGCTGTATATGAGGAAGTAATAGCCATAGGGTAAAACAATGATGCTGGAGTAGCTACATCACGCCCAGTGTTTGTAACTTCTGTTAACTTTGGAGAAACTTTTCTGCCCAGTGAACTCTTCCCAGTTCACATCTATTTTGTTTGATTTCCAGCTTTACAATACTCAAAAATAACTCCTTTAATCTGACCCGAACAAGGCTGATGTGCTTTTGTCAGTCCCTTGCGTGGCTAAGTCTCAGGTACATCCAACACAACCTGGTGATATTTTGTTTTGATCCACAGCTTAATTCAGTACCAGAAAGCCACCAGAGTGGATCAAAAGTCCTGCTTGAGTTCACAATGAAGCGTTCATAACTTTGAATAATTTTTTTTAATTTGTTCTTAGATTGCTGGAAAATGTTACTAAATATTCATTGAGAAACAAGCTGGGAATTATCCAAGAAGGGGAGGGAGGCTCTTGGCCTTTTACTCCTTCCCTCTGATTTGTGCTGAACCATTGCCAAGCTTTAACTTTACAAGGTTTATTTTTATTGATTTCTAACAATAAACAGTGGGAGTATCTTCAATAAAAGATTTA